TCACTTTTTTCTTTCTCAAAGGTTTATTGAAACAGAATCTGAAAGACATAGGCATCCACAGCTGTAACTTCTCACATAAAAGTTTAATGTAGAACTACAAAGTGACATGTTGCTATTATGCAGGGTGCCTGTACAGATATAGGTTTGTTTTTTTTTTTTGGCTAGCACAGAACATCCTGGGTTATTTTTCTTAATATCTTCATGATGATGAATGAATAATGAATATTCTTACTTACAAGTATTTTACTGTGAGGTAACACTTCTTTCTGTGGAGGTTAATGTAATTTATCCAAATGTAGCTAGAAACAGAATCAGGCACTGAAACATTCTTGTTTACCAGCAAACAGCTTTACCTTAGATATGTATTTCAAAGGAAAAAAAAATGGCCATCCCTTTCCAGCAGCATCAGATACAAGAAGGACAACACAGTACTGCTTTTCAACAGACCACACCAAAAAAAGCATCAGAGTGGTAGCTAGGCATGGGTTGAAGGGAACAACACAAAGACAAAATGAAACTTCGTTTTGGAAGAAAAAGTAAAGAGGGCGCTTCTTTCTGATACTACCTGTTTCTAACAGCAAAGTTGGGCTATTGCAGCAGGCAAATACTGTGCTGCTTGAATAGTGTGGGAAGGGAATTTTTCAAAACACTGAACTTCTAATAGCAGCTTTTATGAGACAATTGCCATCTGTTTTTTTCTTTATGTTTCTCACTTGGGAAATAAAAAAAAAGTGAAAGCCATAAATAAAGGTGGTATTTGTTTTCTTCCTTTACAGCACTCTGAGCATCCAAACAACTTACCATGAAAGAGCATATGCAATCCAGATTTATTTCCTTGTTAGTGGGAGGAGGTTATATTTGTTTAAAATGATTGTTAAGGGAGATCTGAAACTTAGCGTCTACAATTTCATTTGACATCTGAATTTTTCAGAACAAGAGTGCCCCTGATGTCTCTTGAGCAATAAAAGCATGGGGCCTACTCTCTTTAGCAATTAATAACTCTATCACAATACTGCTCTTGCCCTAGCTGCTTCCTTTGTGCTTTCACTGTGGTCTAAAATACTGATAAATACAAGCTGGTTCTTTTAGAGTCTTCCTCTGTAGTATTCAACATCTTAAATGTACAAGCCACTGCCTACAGGTAAGCAGGAGCTAGGATCTTCTTCATGTCTTCTTACAGAGATTGAGTTACTAATGGTTTCTTTCTTGGTTCAGGTTCAACAAAACTACTGAACCACTTCCTCCCAAAGGACAGGTTTCTCCCCTCATCTGAATAGTGTCTCTTGTTACTTTAAATCATGGCTAATGTTTTTAAAAATATATCTTACACATAAGTCAGCTGTAGATCTTCAGCATCAAAGGAGCCAAACAGAACTGTGTGAAGCAGTGTAACCTTAAGCTATAATTTTAAAATGCCATCACGAAATCTCTCAAATAGTTTTTAAAATTTACTGTTGACCTAATAACCTCAGTCCATAGTATTCAACTTCAAATAGTTGATTTTGTTTTCCCTCCAAAAGCAGTATTGGTAAAGCAAATGTATATATTGCAAAGTATCTTAAAATTTGTATATCAATGAGTTATCTGTGCAACTCACTAAAATAGCTAAAGATTTCATACAGGATGAATAAATCAGGATAGTAGTAGAGCTGGCAGGCCTTAGATGGAAGTGATTTGATAAAATTGGAATTCTAATGCAATATGTTCACAAAGAGAAAGTTAAAAAAAACCCCAGCAAATGCAACCTTGTAATAATCAACATCTGGCACTGAAATGAACAGCAGTCACAGACAAAATACATATTTGAAAAATTTGTCATGGTGTCTTTCAAGTAATGAACATCCACAAATTGTTTGTTGAAATATTTTCCTTTTAGTATTGTTATGCATGTCTGGGAAATAAAGTTTGTAAACAACAGCCAGAACTCAGCTGCACCCTTAAAATTGAAACTACAGAGGTAACTGAATTAATTTTAAGTCCAAAAAAACCCAAAGCCTCTACTGTCTTCCTTTTGCATCTATATTCCTTCTATGAATCTCCTTCACTAGTGCCTCCAGTATTGAATGCTCTAGCAGACAAGCACCCTCCTCATTCCAGCTGAACAAACAGATTCTCATCTCGAATGTAAAGTTATAATTTAATATACTTTTACCTTGAAACAAGGGAAAGTGCTACTACACTGATTAAAACAAACAACCTCCCCCCACCCAAACAACAATAAAAAAGACAAAGACTCCCTTTCTTCCATTTACTTTATTAAAGGAGATATCTGAGTGAGGCAACTTGGTCACAAACTAAAAACTGACATAATTTTCTTGGCTATGAAAGAGAGCTTTTGTTAGGACTGGGGCAAAATCCTGGGGCAGTTAACTGATGGCAATGCTTGATGCCAAAGGTTGACAGAATGGAGCATTGAAAGCAGAGTGAAGACAGAGTTTCAAACCACCAGGTCTCCAAGGGCCATTTGGCCATAGTACAGGACTCTGCAGGAGGAGGATATGGAGATGTGGAGCATGGCTCTTTCTCATGCCACTGTGGACAGCAAAACCCTTCTCTTTTCCTAATATTACATTTTATCCACAAAGTTAGTCCTTAAGATTGATACATTTCTAGACCAGGATTTTTATCACACTGCAGGAATATCTCAACATGAACTACACGCTCATCAAGCCCTGCAAGGAACCTAGCCTTGAAGCCCTGCTACTCATGGTGAGTGCAAGATCTACTCACTGCAGTTTTCTGAAGACTTCTGAGGTAGTTCTGCCACCCTAGGCCTCAGGGTAACTTTACATTACCCTTTACTTAAGACTTTGTCTCTGCAACACACAGTTGAACACTATGCTGCATGAATAAAAGAATGCAAAAGCCACAGGCACTACATAAAATCCTAAAAGACAAAAAAAAAATAAATTTGCAGGGTTAGATTGTTTAGAGTTGCTGTTGGTTTGGAGAGAGGTTTAAATCTTTTTAACAACCTCCTATGCAAACAAAAAGAGGTAGGTAATAACGTGTACTAAAAAATAAAGACCTTTCTTCACAGAAAACCCTGGCAAAAACAATATACATGTGCACACACACTCACACATGGTCCTTTTAAGTTTTCTGAAGAAAACTTTGAAAAGAAAACCCTGTAAATATTGAAATGGAAAAGTTAATATTTCTGATTGTAATGTTCGCCTTTCATTTTCTGTTACAGTTTCTAGAGCAAAGCATGCCCTTTTTCCTAAACAGTACATTTTCTTTCAAGGTTCTAAAAGGAAACCATTTCACAGCCATACAATGTCATCAGTAACACAATCCATGGAAAGAAAGCTGCTGTACAGATCAGCTCAGCACAGGTCTCTTATTCTCCTTTGTGCCTGTGCAATTCCTTTCATGACTATGTCTTTTATGTCTTCTTTTCCTTCTCCATTATCATTCTATTATATTTTTAGTCAAATAAATTATTTAAATAAAACATAAATACCATACACTAAATGTTCAAGACATGAAAGCAACTTCCAAGGTAAGCGATATACATTTGTAATTAGGCACAGTGCAAATGTTCACAGTGCAAGCCAATTATACTCACTATGTGTTTTCACAGACAAATAATACTGGTTTATAAACATACAACTCACTTCAGGGTCTTGTTTTGTTTTACGATATTCTAGGTAAAGAAATACATACAAAGGAGTAATTTGCTTAGAAAATAAACCTGTTGCAATAAACAAGAAGAGAAATAAAAGATACAGAGTAGCAGCAAAAAAAAAAAAAAAAAAAAAAAAAAAAAAAAAAAAAAAAAAAAAAAAAAAAAAAAAAAAAAAAAAGGGCTCCTATACAGAGGAAAACTGAAGAGGCAAGATGCTAAGGAGTGGACAGGCAGCATAGTGCCTCTCATTGAGGCATTCAAGTAACTCAAAGAAAACTCTGTACTCATACGGATTTGCCTTTACTACATGGTGCTTCCCTCAACGTCAGGCTAACTGTAGCAGCTTGCCATTCACAACATCAGCTATGGATGCTCTTTGGATAGTCTTTTCTCTAACGCTGGTTAGTATTTGCGTTTCCCTGGTTTCCCTCCGGTGGGAGGGGCACACACATCCTGACGTGCCGGTGCCCCTGCTGTGCCCGGGCCCTCGCCCAGGCCGTGTAACCTCCCCGCCGGTGCCCGTGCCCGCGGTCCCTTCCCGCGGCCGCCGGGAAGGCACCGGGGCCGGCACAGGCACGGCGGGGACACAAGCTCCCGGCCCCTCGGCGGCGGCCGCCTGCAGGCAGCGGGAGCCCGGGAGGCTCGGCACAGCGTATGGCCTTGTTCTTGTCTCCACCTGCCGATCCCATACGCGAATGTACTCGGGGGAAAACAACCTCAGGCTAGACAGACAGACAGACAGACAGACACGGGTCGCTGGTCATACAGTCGTATTTCAGGGCTGTTCCTGCGCAGTCACCGTTACCCGGGAGAGGAGACAGGACACGGACGCCACAAGGGGTGACCAGGTTTCTTTCCGCTTTCCCTCTCAGACTCTGGCAGACGGGCCGGGTGCCGTTCCGCCGCCTGCTCGCCCTGGTCAGAGCCGCTCTGGGTGCCGCCGAGCCGCGCCGGGAGGGCAGCGCAGGCAGGCGCAGCCCTGTGCAGGCAGCCGAGGTGGCACTGCAGTCACCCGGTACATTTGTGGAGCTAATGTGTCAAAAAGCATCACCTTCAGTTCGCTGAACTCTTCAAAAGAAGCACACACCAGGGCTCCAGCCTAACCTAGCTCTCGGAAAGAAGTAAAATAAAAGACAGGGAAGGGATATACAAAGGCATCTCTCATCAGCTGCTAAATGGCCAGATATACCCGTAACCTTTGCTTCTCTGCTTTATAGCAAGGGAGTGATGAAAACCCGATGGGACAGCATGCAGGCTGCGTTTTGAGCCACCGGGGTGCATTTTGGAATTGGACAAACATTCTGAAGTGGACACCTGGGAAGGGCATGGGCAGCAAGGGGAAATACTGTCAGGAAAGGAAGAGTTTAAAACTCCTAAGAGAATTTTTGACTACAATTTTAAGAGGTGAAGTGCTGGCACAGATCAGTTTTTCTGAAAAGCAGGAACCGAGCTCGGAGCTGGCTCCTGATCTGCTGTTTGACGACCTCAGAAGCAGAGCAATTTAGACAGCAACTTCTTCAAGGAGTCCAGCTCAAACTACAAGGATGTAAAATTCCAGTCAGACACAGGAAATTCTTGGGGCAATTCAAGAATTTTATGAGTCAGAAGATAAAAATCCCTCTGAATACCTAAACTAATCTAATGAAGTAGTCACCAGGAGAGGAGTGTGGTGAATCTGCATGTCAGGAAGGACAAATTTAAACAAACAGGAAATTGAATAACCTGAAGCTGTTTTCATTTTTACTCCCGGTGCTCCACTTCTATTTTTTTTTAAGGTGCAAACCGAGTTGATGGCTGCAAAAGCTGAGGGGACTTTTTCATTTTAAAGGAAGTCTCAATTTAAAAGAAATTAATTACCTGGCTTCCTTTTGGAAAGGTGGTAAGTTGTTTATTTGTGATTCATTATTTGCACTATTGTAGACCCTTCAGGGCCAAATGTAATTAGCCACTGACCGTTGCAAAGGAATGAAGGGAAAATCATTGATGTAAAGTTCATAACTGAGCATTTAGCTTTTTCCCTGGGAAGCAGAAGTGAAGTTAAATTCTTCCTATCAGATATTTTACCTATGCTAGTAACCAGAGGGTTCAGTTCCAAAATGATACATGTGGTCCAGGTTAATATTGAGGTGCATACTTAGATTTTGACTTAGAAAAGTTGACAGAGAGGTTTCCAGAGAGATCCTCATGTCTAGAAAGTTCTAAACTTTAGGTAAATGAAATTTTAAGACTATCTGTGTAAAGTGGTATTATACAGAATGTTACCTCCCCTGTGCTAGGGAACTATACATTGTCTAGACTCAAAAAAGAAGTAGTTTACAATTGAATAGTATTGCATCCAAAATGCCTTTTATCAGAAGTGAGGAGCTTTTTCAGTTCATAACATTTTCATTTAAAATTCTCTCATTTAGGAAATGAAATTAATTCTAGCAAATTGCACTTTGCAACTATCATGTTAGAATTTTAGGAATAAAATTACAAAGATTGACACTATTCTCATAATGTTTGTGTAATAAAGTTGAGCTTGCATTAAAGCCTTTTTGTTATCTCAGGTTTGCCTCAGCTTCAAGGAAGTAAACATACAGAGAAGCTGGATTTTTTTGCTTTATTTAATGAGGTCTGTGATTTCAAACCTCTTCTCTTCCAGAAGAGACAAAAAGGAAAATTCTCTGTAAACAAGCTTTCCTCCAAAATGGCTCTTGGGTTGACTAAAATGTTTCATTACACAAAGAGTTCATTATATGAAAACAAAACCACTACATTTTAATTTTGATTTTCCCATTTCATTTTATATTTTATACTAAAAATTGCAGATAAAAAGTTGTGATGAAATAATTTTGAGATGAAAAATGAAACCTGCTTCCTCAAAAGACAAGCCACTCGTCTCTCAGCTTCTACAGTCTGATGTGCTGCAGTAGGCAATGTGTTAGGCATAGGTTGAACTGACTGCAAACTGCTTTTATATAAATTTAGAACACGTCTTTCTTTTCTCTCTGAACTGCCTGTCTGGATCCTCCTATTTGGGGTTGATTCTGGACTCCACTTAAAATACAAATTGTTTATATTAAATAGACAAGAGAATGTGTGATGTATTTTAACTGTCAAAAGTGTTGTGAACAGCAGCAGCTGGAAGAGAAATGTTTAATTCATTCCGTTACCCTCCAGCTTTTTAGAATCCTGTATCAGCACCTACATCTTAGTCTTGCAGGCAAAGAAAACAGGGTATGAACGGGTGGTAGCACTGCAAAACTTATTCTACAGGGGAAGAAATCCAAGGGGCACTGAAAAGCCATAACATTGTCATTATTACGTCAAACTAAAGTATCACTAAATCTACAACAGCATTGATGCATCTGTGAAAGCTGTGCACGTTTTTGTGTGGAACAGTTCACATATTATGGCTTGTTTCTTGTACTGGTTTACTCACACTTGGGTGATGCCAGAGATACTATGCAGATAGTGATAGTGGATGGGAGATACTACTCAAACTATTCACTATGTGATACTCCTAAAAAAGTACTCTTAAATCTTCTGGACATGGGGTCAGCAGCCTGTGTGAAGTTGTGAGGAAGAATAAGTTTCTGCCCCCATGCAATTTATTCTGACAGGGCACCTCAGACATGATTGGGACAGTTCCTCCACCATAAGTGTTGCAGCACAAGCTTTTGGTGGGACCAAAAACAAGCATGAGTTGTTACTTAAGACAGCTTAATAAAGGCCTTGCTAAGTATCAAGATCAAGTTATTTTCAACCTTTCAAATTTTCAAAAGCAGAAAAGCATCTGACCACATTTATACTATTTTGTGTATTTCCTTAAGAAAACCTTCTAAGTAGAACAGCAAATTAGCTGCACATAGAAAAATGATTATTCTAGTCTCTGAAAACATTAGGTAAAGAGATGCAGGAGCTTGTGCAAACTTCTTTAGTGCAGGTTTTCTTGGTTTTTCAGGCCTGACTTCTGCAACGTGGTTTGGTTTTTTCTGGGATTTTTCGGTGTTTTTTTTTTTTTTTTTTTTTTTATGTCACATTTACAGGACCAATTTGGCATGCTCGGGGAAAGGAACACTGCCTTTGTTCATCCCATCAGTCTTTCACTTGTCCAATTGCCACGGCTGTATTAGTAGGAAAAATAGACCTAACGAGCTGTAAAATAATGCTCTACATTCAAAACTTGAGCGCTGTAGCTCATTTCACTTTAATATTTACTCCAAAAGTAAACTGCTGAAACCTTGCATAAATGGTGCCAAATGAGTTTGCAAAGTATTCTAAACGCACCGAAGTTAAGTCGATTAACACCTCATACACACAGTTGTTTATTTGGTTCCGTACTACCAAAACTTCTGCCAGGAGAACGCTGCTATGAAGCAAGAGAGGAGATACATGTAGGGCAAGCCTGAGTGGAAGAATTCTTAACAAAACAGCAGTTAGGCAGCAGAAACATCATCCACACCAAGCAAAAATACTTAAGTTGAAAAAGTGGCTGGAGGTAGAGATTTTAATTTGATTTAATGCTTTTTATACCCTATGCTTACCATTTCTCATTGTCAGCCCTTCCACTTTGTTTCTTCTATTCATTAGATTTTTCTTACACTAGTTCTTTCTTCCCTTTTTCACTCAAAAAGGCAGCAGACTGGGTGTTTGAGCTTCCTCTCAAGCAGTGTGTGCTTGGGAATAAGACATCAAGGATCTGTAGCCTTGATTTGCCCTTGGAAGGAGCTGTATAGAGACTTTGTTCGGGTTTGAGAGATGAGTTTGTGGTTTCTTCTTAAAGGAAAGTTCTACAAACACTCTCACCAGAGAAGGCAAAATACAAGATCTTGACAAGGGCTCAGTAGGAAACGCTGATTTTTAAACAAAAGGAACAGCTTACTTGCAAGCTTTTTTAAAGGGATGTCTTTCACCAAAGACACTCTCAACAAAGGACAGTCAGTAACCTGCTATTCAGGAGGGCCCATGTAGATGCATGGGAGGTTCTGTTCTAAACTTCAAATATTCTATATCCAAAGTGGAGAAGCTTTACAGGACAGACTTAGGTGTCATAGGGTGTCATATCAGCTTCTTTCTCTTTCCCCTGCCCTCAGTTGACTTACTCCTGATGCTTCCTCAGTGTTTACCCGCTCAGATGCTTATTCATTTGTGGGGGAGAAGTTTATTTCACTAATCCAGAAGAAAACTATTCAACTTTTTTTCTGGGCTAACAAGCTCTATCTGTTAAGTAAGAGGTTAAACAACCATTGGAGGCAACAGGAGGTGGAAGGTGAGAAAACAGGGCAAGGACTGCAAGGATGACTTACTGTGATGTCCCTGACTGATAAAAATTCTACTGTTAGAATAAACTAAACCTCTGAACTCAGCTTTGACAATACATCTATGCACTAATATCACAGAAACATGATTATAATCTGACCACACAAGCAACAGATTTGACTAGAAGGCTGCTGAGGTCAGGGCCTTTATAATTCAAATAAGCCTGCAATCCTTCAGTTCCAAAGATCTCCTCTGTCTCAGCATTACAAAAGGCAAAGTACGTGAATTTAGAACTTAAATTACCTGGGCTGTATCTTTTCAAAGTGAGCAGGTAGCAGAGGATGCACTTCTCTGGAAAGGGACTGAAATACACTGTACTTTTCATTCCCCAAACATGGTGTGAGCTCTTAAAAAACAGATAAGAAAATCTGAAAAGTTACATTATGTCAGTTCCCAACCCTATCTTAGGTATAACAAAGTCTACCCTTTGACACCAAGCTCCTCCAGTACTGATCAAACCCTATTCAACAAACTCAGACTTTTAAAAAATACTTCATAACTCCCTACAAGTACACTCTCTGTTTATGTAACTACTGAGAGGTCAAAGGGGATTTAGCCACATTGCAACAATGGAAGTTGCAGGGACAGGGAAAGACTGGAATGCCAGAGATTGCTGGCTCTTCCCTCTGTACCTTTCACGTCTTCATGAGATTGCAACCAAAAAAACATGCATTCTGGCTGTAGGGCACTCTTAGCCTTAGGGAAAAAAAAAAAAAATCTGTTTTCAGTTGCCTAGAAGGGATTGTTCTAAGCCCAAACCTCCACTGAAGTGTAAAGGGTGTCCAGTAGCCTGACTGGTTTGCAGTCACACCAAAAATTTTTTATGTGCACTATAACTTCTTCCCAGCTCCCCAGGAAACTGCAGCATACCCATGGTTTTAAATGCTCATGCTGTAATTGTATCACTTCAGGTGTTCTCAATAGGATTCTTTCCTGTAAAGAAACTAAAGAAGTAAAATACTGTCGAAACCGCTGCAGGAAGAGAACGGACCCAACAGCACTGTCAGTGGCTGACAAATGACTTGGTTCCCATGCCAAAAGCAACAGCCCATAGAGCAGCTCACTGAAAACCCAAACAAGCCTTGCAGCTTCTGGCTTTAGAGCAACAGCTAGAGGACCTGAGGACCTCTGACCCACGTTCCGAAATCGACCTTATAAATGTACTTCCCTCCCCTGCAGGCAGCTTAATGACCTGTACAGGCCGTATCTGACATCAGCTTCAGAGCCTCACCTTCACCCTCATCAAAATTTTTTGGCATGAAACAAGATGGTGCTTCATTTCCACAAGGCACCATCCCATTGGTTCATTTTTGAGGGAGGAGGTGGAGTGAGGAGGAAGAAGCCTCAGTAGCAAAATTTCCTATGCTCAACCTTTATTTTTCAGTGTTCAGCACTACTGTCACTAGGTGTAATATTTGTTTCATACTGCTACTCTTAACAAATTTTTAAATCTACACCCTAAGAAATGTTAAGTCTAAAATACTTGCAAAACTATGAGTTGTTTTCTTGAAAGGCCTGAAACAAAGTGATCACCCTTTGGAGAGCTGTTTGTGCAATGACTGATCATCTCTATTG